CCCCCCCCCCCCCCCCCCGCCTTGCACATGCCTGGCCGGCTAGGCACGGATGGGGCAATCAAAAATACCACGTAACATTAGCGGTGTAAGGATCAAGACTTTGTCATACAGAGCCAACTTCTGCGACTCCTTCGGAATCTTTACCCGCACCCTGCAAGGAATCAGAGTACCTCCAGATTGATCTCTGTTGGTTTCTGAATTTTTGTGCAATCCACTGCGGTGTACAGTGGCGGGAGGAAGGGATTGAGAAGGGTTCCCTGCCAGGGCATAGGACTCAAGGGAGACGCTGTCGGTATAGCTGTAGGCTTTCGGGTTCATGCTGGCGTTCATGATTATCGGCACATGCCATTCTTGCGGCGTCTTGTCAAGAGGCAGACTGAAACGCACGGTTTTGGTAGAGATTCCCAGCTCCCAGCCTGCCATCTGCGATGCCCTTCGCTTCTGAAAGGCATCACACTCTGCCCCCATCAAGATCGTTGGTTCTCTGCCTGTTGGCGGTGTCTGCATGGATTCTAGCACCGCAGATGCCCTTCGTTTCGCAGCCAGACACGCGGCTTCGCAGCCGAGGATGCGAGTCTTCGAAGTGTCGCCGAGATGCCTGGGACGATGGGATCCCAGACTTGCCGGAGGAGTACAGGAACATCGGCCCCCTTAGGCTTGGGCCAAGGCCAAGGCCTTTTGGGCTCTTGCTCATGCCTTTTGTGCTCTACGTCTATTTCATGGCCGATGCCAAAAGAGCCCTGTTCCGCAAGTTCGATGCGGATGGTGACAAGCTCCTGTCGCCGTCGGAGCTCTCTGCAGCTCTGGGTGAGCTTCCTGCAGGCACCTTCCAGGCCGTAGATACGGACGGGACCGGTGCTATTGATACGAAAGAGTGGCTTTTCAGCTTCCTGCACACTGACCTCCCCGGGTCGTAGACGAGCTGAGCCTATGTAAACGCAGCCGCTTCGACTCGACGGAGGCATGCATGTTCCTTGCTTCATCGCAAAAGGTGCGGCATTGTGGTTGCTTGTCTTGCATGACACTTGAAACCTCTAAAATATGTGACTTGTATTAGCCCGATCACGAAGTTGTTCCTGAAGCCTTCAACAGAGGCAGCCAGTTAGGAGTGAATATGATTTTCCTTCAACCCGATAACTAGACAAGGGTTTGGGGGGTGTCTTCTACTCTCATTATAATGATGAGCCTAAGGGGCGTTAAGGAGCAATGTCGGTAATTATTTAGGCTTCCATATCTGCGCGGCGCTTTTACGCGGCTGGTGTTCAGGTGTTCAGGGTTTAGGGTTTAGGGCCGGCAGCTTGGAGGCACTTCAGAGAGACCTCGTTCAAAAAGGGTTTAGGGTACCAGAAAACCAGCAGAGTGTGGGGTTCAACAAAAAGGGGTACCAGAAGAACGGCAAATGGTTACAACACTGGCAACGGGCAGCAGAGCAAAGCCTCAGCTTAGCATTGACAATCTTTGACGTGCATGTCGAGGCTCCTGATGTTTTTCATTGGGTCACTACTTTCAGCCCAGAAGCCTCCACGACCCCAGAGCATCGCAATCCTAAGGCCGTTTCCCCCCGATCTATAACCCATCCTTGTCCTAGCCTCTTGAACCCCTAAACCCTAAACCCTAAACCCTAAACCCTGAACCCACACCCTTTGCCCTTAGACTTCAGACCCGCAACTTCTTAAACAACGAAGCCTCTCCAAAGCCTTGAACCCGAACCTCCGAAGCCCTGCCGGCAAACCCCTATAGAACCCTTCCAAAACTCGTGTTGAACTTCAAAAACCAATCAATGTATATATATATATACATATATATATATATATGTATAGATAACATACAGTATATATATATATAGATATGTATATATAAGTCATTTAAATGCCCTAACGCATCCGCGCCAGGCGATGTCGGAGTCTCCGAAGCTTTGCGTACGTGCGGTCGATCGGGCGAAAAGGGTCTTCTTTGAGCAGTTGGGATGCAGAATCGTTTCTAGACCCTGAAGATATCTTATTTAGGGGTCCGTATACCAAGAATCCTAGTATTCAGGGCTCTACAGGGCTGCTCCTGGGACTCAGGGAGTTCCCAGTCCGAATTTAAGGGGCGAGCGCCTTGCGACAGACACCAACGGAGTGGCAGGATGACAGTGCTGTCAACACCTGGGAGTTTCCATATTTTGGAGTCCTTACAATAAGGATCCTTCTATTTGGGGTGCTATATTAGGGTCCCCTATTTTCGGAAACCCCCATTACCTATGCACGAGCCGGATGGAAGCCGGCCCAATCCAGCCGAGGTTGAAAGTGGAGTCGGCTTTCTGTGTTACGTCAAGCCAGACAATAAGGTCAGAGATTGAAGTGCAGCATTTCAGGTTGTGGGACCACACAGAGGCTTCGGCACAAGTTTTTTTAAAGCTCCTCTTGTGAAGGCTCGCATTGGAAATAATATTTAATAGTAATATTTGTCGTGAGATTTGATTGTATCTGAGCGCAACATGGCCTCAGCATGGCCGGTGCAGCAGTGCCTGTCCTGTGCTGCAGCCTCCTCAGGCACGCTGGATCTTTGCGCCTTCGGGTTCAGGAAAAAAAGGTGATTTGGGGTTTTTGAACTTGAGCTTCCTCGCCTCATTCCGGGTGTGTTATTGTTGTCCAACACATACTTTGGCCTGCTTACCGCGTTGCCCGGTATGTGGGGCCTGTTTCTCCATCCGACAAAGTCGTTTTCCCAAAGCTTGCCGTCAAACCGGAGTTCCCAATAGCTTCGGGTCATTCTTGCAGCGTGCCGACTGGCCTGCTGCAGAAACGTCCATCGAGACGCCGCCTTCAAAAGGGGCCAAATCCAGAGCCAGCTGTGATGTGTTTTTCTCGGATGGTTGGAGGCGCGATGACCGGCGGCGGCGCATGGCCGAGGACAGGCTTAGCGTCGCTGAATATG